AACTGATTTTTCGACGACCTTCGCGAAATTCGTCTTGGAGTGAACTACGTCCACGATAGGATTCACCATACCATCGATAAACACTGGTCCTTGATGGAGTTTCATCGCCAAAAATTGAATTAAGTTCATCCATGCACTGTTGCAGAGTTAATCCACGTCGAAAGTTGTAAAAAATAATCGCACGAAAATGTTCACGATTTGATTCCATTTTTGGACCAAGATGAATCTTTTAAGTTACTGTAAACAACACAAATAGCGCTCGTATGTCAAAACGTTCTGAGTACGTATAACCTCAAAACATCCAAATTTACGATAGAGCTGTCAGTTGCCAGATTGCCAAATCCCGAAACATAAAAGGCAACCTTCGTAGTACTTTCCTCAAAATTCTTTTGTATTATTGGAAGTAGACATGGAAGCCTGATAATACGTTAGAATTGTAAGAATTAAAGTAAACCATATGTTTATTTTTAAACGATGTTCTAATACCTTGTGTGATCCAAGTATTGTTTCTCCGTGAAATATTTAATTTTCACTTTTTGAGACAAACTCATGCGTTTAAGTGAAATGAAAGTTTTGAGAAAATAGATTATATTTATCATTTGTGTCAACAGCGTTATAAACTGTCCCAAGATTCCTTCAGCAAGTAGTTCGTAAATAATTTTATGTTAACTTTAGTGAATGATCTGCACATGTGTGTATAATTTGCGTCAGTGTTAATGTTATTAGTAATTGTAAGAATTTGCTTATCATGGACACTCTAACCTCGATTAGTTGTTTTTATTTCATATCTTGTGGTTTTCTTAATTATAATTTGATATATTGCTTTTTGTGATGTATATGTAGTTCGTGTAGGTACATTCAGTGTAATATTTAAATTAAAATAATGCAGTAGATTGATAAACTTCACTTTTTCGTGGGATTCGCTCAGAAAATCAATATTGAAATCTCCACATATAACAATGAATTTCAAAGATAGATTACTAATTTTGTCCAGAGTTCTCTCTAAATTTTTTGAAGCAAATGAAATTATCAAAAATAATTTTGAGCGTATTAAGATGCACGTCTGTTATTTCAAAAACTTTTCAACTGCATATAAATTGAATTCTGACAAGAATATAAAATTAGTATCATTTCTTACGTAAATACACAAACCTCCGTAAGCATGGCCCTTATTTGATTCCATCGCTCTACAATGTAAGGTAAAAACTACAAGGTAAAAACTAGGAATTCGGAATGTGTTTAGACAGAACGAGAGAACCAATGTTCGGTAAAGGAAAAAAAAATCTATTTGACCTAGATCACACTGTAATGCTGCCTAGATAAATTCAATTTGATTCGAAAGAGATTGCACATTATGATGAATTATTTGAATTTTTGCATGTACCTGCACGGATGTTTTTCTGCTGCATTTAACTGCAGTTGCTGTTTATTTATCTTATTTTCGATCCCTACCAGTGACAGGATGAAGAAAGAGGGACGACAAATGTAGGTAAATCAATAATGGTAGAGGTAGTACAAGGATTAGGTTCAGAGGATAAGGTAATTGGGTCCAATGAGGCACCGGAGGATGGAAGGAGACTAGGAGATGGGGATTGGTCTTGGGCAGGATACTGCCGAGGTTGTGAAAGGATGAGTTTTGCAAGCTCGCAACCGAGTGCATGTTTTCCGACAAAGTTCACTTGAAGACCATTCCGGTTGTGGTGTTTTTCTGAGAGGAAGTTTAGGTCAAATAATTTAACATGTGTCTCTCAGATGCAGTTTCAATGGGTGTTTACGTGTTTAATTTCTTTACACAGTGTTGGTTTGTTGTACCAGAAGGGCAGAGTTGAGACTATAATGTTCGTGTTTTGGGCGGCACGTTGTAGTTTGTCAACATGAAGGAATTGTTCCGTCTTTCCCTTCTTTAGGGATTATAATGACAATGTCTTCACGTCAAGTCATGGGTTAGGAATGTTCATCCCAATTCAAGTTGAAAATGCGGAGGAGAAAAGAACGAGCATTTTCCTGTAGGACTTTACGCATTTGATCATGTATCTGGACTGGTCCTGGAGCAGAATCTTTCGCACATGCGAGGGCACACGAAAATTCATCCATGAAGAAAGGAACATTGTAGTCTATTCCCCCCGCAACTCGAGAAATCTAATCTGAAGTTCTACATTCTTCTTTTGATGTTCAGACAGGCAGAAGAGTAGTCTTCGGAGCTGGAGATATGCTCGTATTGAGGCCAATTCTTCAACTGTATCTGCCGGTGAGGTGAGAAGATTTCCATTTACCAGAAGCCCTGAGACAGACGGCGAAGGAAGTCTTCCACCGATCTATCGAACTTATCGCCGCATTACTGTAGGGAGCGTACGGACAGAGTGATGAAATATAAGCTCTTGAGGACGTTGCCTTACTTTCCCGCTGGGTCAATCTAGCTCTGGCTCGGGATCTTTTATAATTTATCAGATTAGCCATGGTTGGGAAGCGACTAAGCTTTGCCAGTACCCGCTTCCGATTACGCACCGCGGTGGCACAGTCCGCACCCCACCATGGTACGGGAGGCTGCCGTGAGCGACCCGACGACTTCGGGATGGCTATGGGCAACCATAGCATCGATGTCGTTTGAGCAATTTTTCGATATACGTATTTCTTTTTCGAATGTTTACCACTCAGCTCGGTGGGTTATGCAGTAAGGACGGCAACGTTTGGGTCGAGAATATCGAAATTGACCAGAATGGGGAAGTGGTCACTGCCATTCAGGTTGCCGAGGACATTTCACTCAAAGATGGAAGAGATGGACTACAGAGTCAGATCGCCGGACGAGAAAGTGCTTGAAGACACGGGAAAATGTGTGCTTTCGCCAGAGTGCTTTCAGAATACTTCTAAGTAAGACTACTTGTGAACACCCCCATATTCTTTAATTTTTTGCTCTCTTATAAACTACCTCTTATATAATACTAGAAATACTAGTAAGAGGCGTAATATTTAAGGTGTGATTCAGTTACCGGCATCTGGGCGTCTTGCGCGGGGTGGGGTGAGGTGTCTGCGTGACGCTGCTAGCTGCGCCAATATGGCAGCGTCTGGGAGGTACGTTACCGCATGACCGTAATGGATCTGTGGCTGGTGTGAATTTTTGCACTTAAAAAATCCATATAGTCGCCGTTTTCAGGCCGATTTTACTGGGCGATGTCTCAAAATATTTGGGGAAATGCCCTCTATCTGACTGAAACAGCGTTCTTACGCGGCCCTTTACCTAAGCTGTACTCCACCTTTGATTCCCTTCTTGGTTTTGCAACACAACCGGTCCCTATACTAGTGCGACTACGGTTCCCCACATTTACGTTTGCAAACGATACATTTACTAAAATATTCATTTTATTTTATCAATATGTTATTCTAATCTACTATTTACACTTACCCCAATAAGGAGTTATCTAAGGTCTAGTATTTACAGGGGATTACGCACGTGGTGCGACAGAACATGACACGTGCTCTGAGCTTGATTATGCCAGTGATTATTCAAGAAGCGATTTAGAGTGTAGAGATGTTTTCATTGGCAAAGAATAGGTTACAAAGTGGAATAAAACTTGTCAGAAAATTTACAGAAACCGAAAGCCGTGATAATTAATAACCACGAACAAAGTTAAAAAAAAATCACCGTCACATTTGCCGAAGAGGAAAAAACTGCAGCATTACAATAATTACCACACTTATTCTTAGTACTTCTAACTGGTGCAACAAATTTGCATGCAACAAACATTCTTTAAGTCATAATATGCAAAAATTGTTCTGAATATGCTAAATTTATTACTATTATTCGTGAAGTAAAATGATAACACAAACAATGGTTTTCAATTATAATTCATTAACACACAGAAATGAAGGATTACATTGGTACAAAAGAAAACTTTGGTACAAAAACACGCTCTCGGTACGAGGTACGACTGACTGACTCTTGTCCTTGCGCAAAGAGAAAACAAGAACATGAGTGCGCATCTACCATTATCGTTCGACCAAATCAACTTATTCAAATTAGTTTTATCAGAAAAAGAATTTGGTTCAAAAGCCACCTACCCTCAAGACTTTGTCGATTGAAGTTTGTGTTCAGATAAGCATTATCAATTCCCTGTGGTGGATATCTTCCCAAATTTCTAAATTCTAAATATTTTGCACACCACCATTGACAAGTTTTAAGAGACTTAATCAATCCTATTTTGTCTGGAGCCCAAATGACATGCATATTTTAGTTTGAATTTTACACAAGAATAATACTGTACCTGCAATGATTTCTCCTTTTAAAAATTCCTTCCAAGTCTTATTAAATATCCCAATGCTTTATTATATATATCAATAATACAATGTATTCTATGTGAGATTTAAAGGTTAATTGCACATCAAACAAAACATTGAGGTCTTTCTTTAATTTAACACATTCAAGAAGGGTACCAAGAAAGGAAGGAGAAAAAAACTGGTCAAAATGGTGTGAGGAGAGGAAAAAGAAACTTAGGAAGAAGAGTACTGGAGAAAGAAGAAAGAGCAACTTAAAAAGAAGTGTTGAAATTGTATCTTGGTATCTAGATAACTCGAACGAAGAAAGAAAAAGAAGAAAATAAAATAACTGTAGAAAATAATTTATGATTTATGTTTATGATAAATATTCATAGTTTTGTTTAAAATTATTTATTCTAAACACAGAATTTGACTTAATAATTTTAATACATTTTTGCGGTAATATTTAAAAATTATCTTAGTTTTCTCTTATATTTCTGGCTAAAAAGTTGATCTTATGAATCCATAACAACATGTTTCATGATGAAGTTCTTAATAACATGCATTGGAGTGCTATTCAGCTATTAGTGCACCATTGTAGATAAAGATAATAATTTGCCCCGAGAGTGTAAGAACAACACACATTACGATTGCACATACAACTACCTTTTGGAACTTTCCTCCTTCACATCATAAATAAATAAATAATACCATCATAAAAGCTTATTACATTGTTTTCTTACACATACCTGATAACCAAGTGCACATTTTCCAATTGCAAATTGGGCTGTGTTGGTTCGATCTAGACAATCAACACAGTTGACTCTAATAACACCTGTTTGTAATCTTCCAGAAACAAGGTTGGCCAAACCCAGCATTGATTGAGAACTTTGACTATAATATGGATTCTGATTCTGAAATATGCCAGTTTTACATACAGTACTACGAGCAATCTCTGCTAAACCACCCATAACATTTGCTTCCTTCCTACAAATATAAGAAGAGTTAAGAAAAGCATTGAAATCATTTAACACTTTATCTTATTTTACAAGAAAGTTCACCACACAACTTACCCTTTATTCATTCGAGCCATATCAAAACTAATATACTGAATATGATGTTCAGGAGGTAGAAATTGGTTCAAATAATGAATAGCTGTGCTAAATTCTTCACTTAACATACTTTCATGTTTCTTCTTCTCTCGTTTCTTTACTAGATTTAGAATTATAACTGGAGAGCCATAGCGATGTAGTAGTTGATTAAAATGACCCCCTAGGAATGAGAAGTTTCACATTACTCTCTGCATAATTTTTCATCTCTTCCTGAACCACATACACGTAGAACAGAAGAAAATATTTGGCAGGAGAAAGTGGAAAATGAGAAAGCCCTGGAAAGAATTGAAAAGAAACCATCACAACAATAAAAAAAAGTTACAACTGCGCACACTTTCTTGTATAATTGGTAAGGGTTACCAATATTACAATTTTGCAACTTGCATACTATTAAATGTACTTTTGTCATCTCTTGAAAAACTCATCAAACAAGGCATGGGTGATTTAAAAAAGAATTCAAGAAATTATAGAAAATTCAAAAGTTTGAAAGGAAAGAACACTTCAGCCATTGAATTGTGAATATTGTGCTCTATTCTTGTAAAAATATTTTTTTTTAAATTGCATGTCCTGGGATCCTGATCATCCACAATCTTGTGCCAAAGGGCATTCTCTTCAATCTGTACCACAGTTAGTGAGAGTTCGATGAAAAACACAATCATCGAAATATGCTGAGAAACTATATAGCTGGTCACTAAGATATACATCACCCAGCAAGTAAAAAGCATTGAAATTTGGAACGTGTAAATTTTGCAAATCTTCTACGAAGATTTCGTTATTAATCTTGGCAAAGATATTTGCACAAAAGGAACACAGAGTACACGGAACTGATTTCATCAATCTATTAAGACATGATGCCACTCGCAAACTTTCAAAGGTTGCCAAGGTAGTTTCCAGTACAAATGAAGCAATAACATTTCTCCGAGCTGGAAAGGCTTTTTGTGATGGCTGTTAAAAGGACAGAGAGACCTTCATAGTCCACTATTAATCTTCCTACAATTACAACATTGAAGATAGATATTTTTTCTTCCAATGAATTTTTTTTTCTTCATAATTAGTTCCTTCAATGCAATCCATAATGCTGGGAAATGTAGTTCGACATTAAATCATGTTCTTAAACACCTTTACACCACACGATCAGGAAGTGCTAGCTCTCCAGATGTGTTGATGGCGATGACAATGTCAAATTATGATTTTTATTCCAAACGTATTTTATATGTATCCATATTCATTATTCATCGGTGAATACAAAGTGTTTTCCGGTTCTTATTATGGATTTACAAAATCAAAATCTTCGGAAGAACCTATTTTTTCCCTTTCTTAAAGATACTGCTTTATCAGTGGCTCAAAATATACCTACTGGAATATTTTTAGATATTTTGAAAAATTTTAATGCCATTAATAATAATATTTGGCTTTCAAAATTACTTTCATGTGGAATTCATTGCCCTAGATGGGTATCGTCCTACCAAAAATCTCGTTTGCAAAGAGTTGAAATACTACATAGGCACAAAAGAACTTAATTTACTGATTTTTCTAGTACTTTAATAATTGATCTTAGGCTCTATAATAAATCTATACTTCCAATATAGGCAGTGCCATCTGGATCGCTCAACCTTAGCGACGACCAATGGTAATAATAATCATCTATTCTATGTTTAGTTTTCTGTTAAGCAATGTGTATTGAGCTGGAATACATAATACTTTATGTATACATATAACAATTTATCATCATTAATTATCTATCCTTATGACATTCTTTAATAACAATATCAAGTTATAACAAATTGGCGATGAGGTGAACAATGATCTACAATTTATCAAAATAAGATCAAGTGTTGAAGACATCTAAACATTCAAGAACGCAGTCAATAAGAATCTACAGAATTGTCAGTATCAATACAAAGAAATATATGACCTACAAACAAACACATTGAATTTACAAGGTATTGTATGTAATATTTTAACACAAAGTTTAAATTTTAAAAAGAGGTAATAATCGACATGGGTAGTTTACAATTTTTAGAAATGCAACAGAAATTCCTCAATCAACTATTACATCAGTCAAAAAGTGTTAAAGGTGGTCCAGTTATCAACGTGCAGGAAGTCAAATTCTGAAACATTTGACCCAACAAAAATAATTTTGAAACTATAAATATCAATTTGAAAATTATATTGAAATGAAAAATATTATCGGAAACAAAGACTATTGTTCAAAGTTTCTTCTTAATTCCATTGGACCCAAATATTTCAATATGATTTCTGTTCGACAGCACCGAAAGTGCCCAAAGAAAACGTACGATAACATCATGTTGCTGTTAATGATGAAACACCTCTGCCACCTTGTGGCCCACAATAAATTTTTATCAAAATATCAAACGGAAATGTGCCATCTGTTCAGCTGTTTGCTGATGACACGAATGTTCTTGCCAAAAAAGAAAAATAAATAGTACGATTTCAAAAGTTTCACACTGGCTTGTAATAAAAGTTTCAATGCACTTTTGGATCTCAAATCAGCAATCACATGCTCTATTGAAAATGAACAATATGCAATTGGCTGATGTTGAGGGAACAAAATTTCTAGGTCTCTCTATTCAGTCAAATGGAATGTACATAGAACAGAATTAAACAGTAAACTAAGTTCATTATGTTATGCAATCAGAATTCTTTCCAATTCTGCCACTCATGCAGCTTCTTGCTTGTATTTTGCAAATGTGCAATCTTGCCTGAGATGTGACATACTATTCTGGATATGACATACTATTCTGGGGAAGCTCATTATGTAGTACCCAGACCTTTAGATTGCAAAAGAAAATTATTTGAATAATGAAAAAATGCCATCCGCATGATTCCTGCAAGCCTCAATTCATTTAGCTTGAAATCTTCCCACTGTCTTACTTAGTAAGTCAGTTTTGACAAATATTACAGACTGGTGGTATTACAGAACGGTGGGAAAATATTTTCATGCAATACTGATATGTATAATTACAACACACGTCGTAGAAATCATGTTCATCAAGTATCTGTATCAACAGCTCACTACCAGAAATCCACATACAATACATGTACGTTACTTTACAATGTTCGTTACGTACAATACATGTATGTTACTAAACAATTGAAGTCGGTTCACAAATTTAAGTTACAAGTAAAATCTTTTCTGCTGTATAACTGTTTCTATACAATTAGAGACAATACTGATCATCAAAAAGAAAAAGAATGTTTATTTTAACAAAACAGTGATATATGATGAATTAGTTTTACATTTCTATTGTATATTTTTTTAAAAAGACTTAATATGCTTGTGACAAATCATGTACCTTAGCTTCCGGGTCAATGACCCCCATTTTGATCAAGTTTTTGTCTGGTTTCGCTGATACATTGAGCAAATGCCGAGATGTCCTTGTTTTGCTTCTGGTTGTAAATGTAGCTATACTATGAGCAGGTTTTCTTGAACTCTCCTTTTGCTTGTAGAGGTAAGGGTGCGTTACTATTTTGTTAGCAAAGCAGAAAAATTAAACCTGCAGTCTGTTTACTGTTACAAATAAGTTTTCCATAACTCGGGAAAAAACGTCTAGTTTTTCAAATTTATTTTTATTTATCTTTAACATTTGCCCATCCTTCAACTATTTATAGTTAAAAGGACGGGAAAGGGATTCTGGAACTCAAGAAAACATACACAGATGGTCTTCTCTGCCATATGTCACATACAGTTTTTACTGTGTTTTGACTAAATAAATCTAAAACTATACTGACGGATGTACCACAAAAGAAATGTCTCTGCTTCTCCGGAAATTGAGGACCGTATAAAAAAGCCAAAGACCCCACGTGGTAGAGTTGGGAGACTTCTTGTTGATTTTCCCCAGACGAGATGTCAACCTACAACTAAAGATTCAATCAACAAGAAACCAAATGCAACAGAGGAAGAAGTAGTTTTCGAGCCACCAGCTGTAATTTTGCCGTTTCACTAATACTATACCAAAGCTGTACAGGTTTAATATTAATTTACAAATTTATCATATACCTCACATAGCATATTTCATATAATATAACTTAAGCAATAAAACAAAGGCAGTGACTATTGCATCAAAAGTTAATAGATATCACGTATCCTGCATATCGTGTAAAGCCGATATAAAAGAATCCAGTGCAGCTCTGTTGACGCTGTGCTAACAATCCATTCCACAAGTTCACCAATCTGATACTCAAAAAGTGATGTCGCTGTTAAAATCCTTGTATTCTCTCAGTGCAACTTCAAGGAGTGACCCCTGAGGCGGCGAACAAGACTTCTGTCACAGAAATTTGCCTCCATGTTGAATCATGTCCTCCATCGACAGTGGACTTCGTCATTCGTCTCTGCACTTCCTCCAAGGCCTCAATATCTTTTTTGTAGTAAGGAGACCATACTGACTTGGCATATTTTAACATTGGTCTGATATAAGTCACATACAGGTTTTTCAACTCTGTCGACTTAACTCACAGCAACACTCTCCTCATCAGATTCCGTGCAGAATTTGCTCTCTGGCAAACTGCTTAAACCTGTCTGTTCCATTTGAGACCTTGGTTTACAACCACACTCAGGTCAACCTGTGCTGTTACTGTTTGTATTGTACATCCACCAATTCGTGGACATGTCTCTGGGGTTGTTTTTGCTCAAATGAAAGACTGTGCTTAAGTTGCTATTCAATGAGAGTAACCACAAATCAGCAATTCCTCTATCCTTTGGAAATCTCCAGCAGGTCCCCTTGTTGCAATATCGGGTTTCCAAACAACTTTCATTTCGATAAGTTAATAGAGTGCTAACACTAAATTTAATTACATAATTGAAAATAATGATTAAAACTGAAAATAGAAATAAAGTAAGTTTTACTTTACAGATGGCAAAAAACATTTTTCGGAAAACCTGATCGGATTCGAGGATGAGGAACACACCTCGAAATTCGACCTAGTATAAGGTTTTCAAAAATTGGCGACGTTAATAATTTATTATAGAATTTTCTTGTGAAGTATAAACAATTTGAAAGAATTAATTTTTTAAAGTTCTCTGTAAATTTGCATATTTTATACATATAAAAGACAATGTTTGTTGCTGTTTGATCGTGCTTAATGCGCTGACGTACCGTATATCCGATCACGATAAAACTGAGTCAACTTATTGTTTGCACTTCCAGGATGAAACAGGCATAGTACGATGGGAATGTGCATATATCTGCGCACATAGATGTGGGTTGATGTGACACATTATGTACACTGAAGTGCGCTTTATACCCACACACTA